GCTGCTAGGCTACTTACATTAAGACTACATTAGCACGCGACTAACCGAACACCAACGAGCGACGAGAAATGATGACGTCAACAATCACATTGCTGAATACCATTTACAGACAAAACATCAAATCGACTCAGGGGACTCTGCGACATGTATTACGTATTCTACGGATTACTATCAACTACTTACTTTAGACAGCTGGTTTACTAACTTGGAACAAACGCCGCTGAATCGTAGCCAACACGGTTACCTGCACCATACAAACGACTTATTGACGAGACCCAGCAAAACCAGCCACGAGAGAACGACTGGAGAACTGACAATTTGACTAACAATAGACGGATCGAAACGCACCAATTACATTACGAGTTTTCATAGCCAATAACATCACGGCTTAACTGACAGACGACCAATAATATCGCGACGTAATTGACCAATTAGATCAATAACCAGAGTATAATACCATAATCTCACGTCCCGCACAGGTTGTCGAAACGCCAGTCACTGTCAACAACAACGGTCCTTTTCAGGACCACTTTCACCCGGACGATCAGACTCAACCTACTCTTGAAATGACTCCTGGGTTCAAACCTTTTACAAAAATATTTTTGTTGATGTCACCGTTCTCTGTATTGTTTGTACACATTTGATTCCTTTAATTCAGAACTTCAATAAATTTCAATAATTTTGTCAGAGCTTCAGAGAAGTGGTAGGCGTGTTTTACTTCGCGCAACCAGATTTTGTGTGAATTTACGTTCATAAATGTTTTTGCTCGTGAACACGCCCGGTGTGGACTTTTCCAGCTTTGTCTGCTAAAATTATCTCAGTGAGAACAGAAGTCTTAGAACACTTGAGGGGAGAACATCGTTAGGATTTCATTTCAGATAATGTGTGGGGGGAACTCCCCCCTGCTCTTAGTAGCTAAAAAGACAAAAATGGCCAACGTTTGTTTAGACAGTTTTTTCTAGTGTTGTCACGTGGCAGACCGTCTTCACGTCACAAGACATCCGTATTTATTCGAATAAGCGCCCAACCTCGAATAAGCGCCCATCCTAAAGGCAGAAAAACTTAATAAGCGCCCAGCCTCGAATAAGCGCCCACCCCCTCCTCCTCCCAATCAAACTCAAATAAGCGCTCACCCCCATGTGAATAAATTCTAATAAGAGACTTCCCTGAGGACGGAGTTTTCTTCAGAGTATTTTACAGAAACCTTGCTTTGTTACTTCTTCGCGTTTTGTTATTAGCATTTACTGTTTTGTTGCAAAATAAACATACTTCACTTGCCGAAAATGGTGAAAATTTAATAAGCGCCAAGCCTCGAATAAGCGCCCACTCTCAAGGTCTAAAAATTTAATAAGCGCCCAGGGCGGGTAATCGAATAAATACGGTAGGCACGCAACGTGTACATGATCGAATGTTAAAACCTACACGTACATTCAGACTTCTTGCGTTTAAGGGAAGCCCAGGATCAAATTTCTTGCAGACAGGCCTTGGCCAGTTGGGCCGTGTATTATTTGAAATTAGTTTATGATTCAAACGTCGTCAGTAACTATTGGTGCAGTAAAAACCTTCAAGTACTGGCCGTTTTCAGTGATTTCATACACGCGGAAAGAGGAATAAAGTGGCTACCGTATCTTGAGAGGTTTCAAAGTAATTCAGTGCTAAAGACATCAAAAACGATCTAAATTCAATGCAGCATAACCTCAAGTTTTATTACAATAAATCTCTAATTTCTTCAACTATACCAGCACTGTACAGGTGATTATTAATGGTCCTCCACACCAGCATTTTTCCTTGTTCTTTGATACGTCAGAGTTCAATGCACAAGCAACAACATTTAAGACAACTACCATTTTGCACGTTTTTCTAGACGTTGCACAAATTCACAAGAAGAAATGTTTGATGCAGAGGTACACGTTCTAATTCTACTCATAATACTGTGATTATTTTGTCAAAAAAATCTACAACTCAACAATAAAACATCGTTTAAACCATTGTTCATGACGCAATGTGCACGTGACCAGCGTAACACTAAACAAATTTGGGAACTAAAAAAATATATCATTTCTTACCTAATACAATAATCTCAATGACAGGGCAACTCTTAACAAAATTTTGCATTAAGAAATTTGTTTTTCTTTGCACGTCCAACAGCAGACACTCTGCTCCGCTCGAAAGGAAAGTTAAGGTTAGGTGGGATTTCGCAAAACATACACCGATAAAAAAAGGATTACTCACAGGACATGACGTCACTGAAAGACTTTAAATAATTCCACACTGCTTGCACCGGAAGACGCTGAATGAAATAAACTTTCATGAAAATTATGGTACGTCAAGACAAACGGCCCATTCTTAAAGATAGAGGAAACTTATGTTGCATATGGAATTGCCTCGTTGGACCAGGGTTTACGTGCAAGAAAGAAAACTCGCCCTCGTTTTATTACTTCTGATTTTATCAATTTCGTGGGAAATGTCCTTTTATGAAATCCTTGTATCACTTCGGAACACACGCCACTGAGTAAATTTGGTTATTTCTGGTTTTATACAAGGCTTATTCTTCTAACTTTAGCCAGAGAATAAGTTACCCAAAGGTGAAAATCTTGTGCATAAAAGTCGCCCTATCATCAATTCACCACAAAGACAAATTAATCCTAATTATAAAATAAATTAACCCTATTTATAACTGATAATACGTTTTTATAACGAAACTTTCTTACAATAACAAAATTTCTGAAAAATAATCTACACCCGAAACTTTTAATCTGATTGGGTAATTTTTATTACTCAACTATAAATTAGAAAAATAACGATACACTTTGAATGCATCAAAACAATATCGAGAAATAATTTGAATAATGTCTCACTATTTTAGTTTTATCTGTAATATATTAGGTTACTCTTTTTACCAATATATAAGAAACTCTTTTCCAGCTGGCTTATTTGTTGAGATAGTCGAGTTTTAGCAGGTATTAAACAAAATAGATTAGCTCAATAAAAGAAAAACGTTCAGTCTAATTTCCTCTAATTTCACTTCAAACAAGCAAGAATTGCTAATTGAGCTTTTCAATGCGAAAATAGTCGATCAAAACCACACAATCATCATAGTCGCCCTCTACATCATCAAACTAGTTAGCGCTTGGACAGAGTCAATTTAACGTGAAGATAACATTTCGGAATGTTGCATTTAAAGATTGCATCAGCTGGATTAGACATTCAGAATTAACAACGCCCTTGAACTCGAGTATTTAACCATTTTACTCCTACGGTTCGTTCTAACTTTTGAGTATTCGGATGAAATCTTTGAATGAAACCTTTTCAACAGTTTGTTCACGTGGTATTTTCTACTTAATATGTAGCTCTAACTTTTGAGGATTTCCTACAATGTTACCATGTTAGAATGTAGTTTTAACTTTTGACTCTGTGAATACAATGCTGTGGAGTTATCAGTCAAATAAAACCTCTTCAGCAGTATTTTCACTCGGTGCTACCTTACAACATGAAATTTGAATTTTTTTTTTTCGAAAATTGACTTCTGCCATCTCTGGGAGTAAAATGGTTAACGCACTCAATTCTTAAACTCAATTAATTTATCAGGCTTTGGTTGTTAAATCGCTGAACAGCGTTATGCACCGGATAAATCGCTACACAGCATATATGTAACAGGGGAAAAAACTGCGTTATCTACTCTATAAAGGTTTGAGCAACTGCCGACATATTTTCAATTGGAATTCAACCCTAGTACATTATATCCCTTTCATTTCACTTCTACAGTTTCACTTACACACTACATACTAGTATTAGCGGAGTCGCGCTGTAAAAGCACTAAAGCCAAGAACAAATAACCATTTACAACGACATCAATTGAAAAACCTAAGCATTTTTGCACTTTTCATTTGGCAATATCTACCGGTATCCAAATGATATTTCTACAACTTCTACTCAACACACTAGTTTTTTCCCCTCGACGTCACAAAAAATGGGCACATTATAAGTTTACACCAACCGCCATTAAATTGCGCTTCGCTTAATTCTCATACAAAATTTGTCAACTCGCTTTTATCTTCCTTACCTTTTCCTTCCACGTATTTGTTTGTCAGTCATTCCCTCTAATTGATCCAGTCATTCATTCATTTCTTTCTCAATCATTCATTTCTTTCTCATTCGTTCATTCATTCATTTATTCGTTTGTTCATTCATTCATCGTTCGTTCGTTCGTTCGTTCTTTTGTTAGTCTATCCGTTCCTTCATTCATCCCTTTATTCATTTGTTCACTCACTCACTCATTTATTCGTTCCCTCCCTCATACGTTCAAAAATCCATTCGTTCATTGACTAAGTCACTGAAAAATTTCAAACCATTCTAATCACTTCCAGCGTGAATTGTTCCTAACATTGATGCGACGCTCTACAAAAATATTGTTCTTAAATGAAGAGAAATATAAAACCATAAAAAATGTATAAAATCAATATCATTAATGTGAGGAAAAATGTCAACAATGTAATTATATTTTGCCTTTCCAAGGACCTTCTCACATCAAAACAATTTATCGCCTTTCATTGCTCAACCACCATACTGCAGGTTAATTGCCATATACAAAACAAGGGACCATCGAAACACACGCTCCGTATACAACCTGTCACCAGCTATGCAGTCGTTAACCTAAAATAAATGGCTTTATACCTAATGCAGGACTCAAAACCTGAGACAGCTTGAGTTTGCCTATATTGATCTACAACCAACTTCGCCGAATTACAGCAAAACAGCTATTCAATCTTTCCATTTTCCGACAATATTTTTATTCTAGTAGAGAGTAAATAGCTGTAGCAGTTATCGCATGAGATAAATTTCAATGTCTTACTTATATTAATGTGTCTTTCTCAGATTTTCATAAACTCTGTATCAGAACTCTATTTACAAAGTCTGAGTCAATAGCTCCTCTCGCTCGAGTCACCTCTAAACAATTGATTCTACAAATACCATGAACCATTATAATGCAATTTTTATCCTCACAGAGTCTCATGAATGGCAGCAACAATAGGACCAGCTTTTGTCTGCAATGTTAAAATATTTGTATTAAAATAATTTTAGAGTCACATCGCAGATTTCTTTTGTATACAACAGTTTAACTTCTTGAAGTTATCAGATGGTGTATATTTTTCATTCTTCCTTTTGGCAAAGTCGAAATTTACACTTTCGTATAACAAAGTGGGGGTTTCAGCTAAAAATGACTCTTCTAGGCTATTGCTGTTTTTTCTTTTCTTAAGGCAGCGAGAACCTAAAACGAGTACCTGCTTAATGTAAATGTGCCATTATCTACTCCCTTGGGGACATTAAAAAAAAACAAACAGAAAGAAAAAAAAAGAAAAAGGAAATAAAAAACACTGCTTGTGGCTTAGTTTACAATTTGCAAATAATAGGTTATGAGATAAATGCCTCCTAAAGTGAATTTGACGAAGACACTTTCCAGGTGGGGGAGGGGGAGGGAGTCAAGGCAAGGGATCAGTTGTTTCGTTTGTAGTTATTTTTCTTACGTGGCGGAGTCAGATTAGCCCAAGAGTAAAAGTACTGTGAGGCAGGGTCTATGGTGTTTCGTCGCTATCCGAGAAGACGAGAAAGTCGAACTATTTGCACATGTCAGAGCAAAGGCAGCACGTTCTCCTCAGTTACTTTTACACCCTAAGTGCTGATCTGAGGTACACCGCTCCAAATGGCAATACACATACTGTAATACACTGTAAACTGTATTTTAAACTTTCACAGTGGAAACCCCAATTAAGGGATAATTAGATAATCATATACGAAGCCTGGGCTAGGCAACTGAAGCACTGCAATTGTATTTAAGTGTGAGCCACGATGAAAGCTAAAAAATTAAAAGTTACATCAAATTGTATGACTCCAAGCACTGACCTTGTACTCTGCAAACACGTGACATATGTATTTTCCGCCTCCCATACTCTGTATCAGTCCAAAATGGCTTCTGTTACTGTGAGGTAAAGAAAGAAAAATACCAAAAATATCAGACGTTGCAAACTGAAAGGAAGACAGAAAGGAACTTTGTTTTTAAGAAAAAAGCAACCTAAACAAATAAAGCCAAAAGGCAGCAGAAGCCACGATTTTCATACAAGACATGTTTGGAAGTCCTAATCAAACGTAACGAAAATAGGTAACTCCCATCAACAAATTCTACATTCATGGTGGCGAGATTATGACTCAGAATGTTGGTCGGAAAGAATGCGAGTAGTTTCTCACCTTCCTCTGAGACACAAGGGCGCACGAAACACATGAGCGCGAAAAAATCACCGCGCGCGCGTCTCAACTCATCTCGAGGGCGGCTTCACGAGCGCTCGCGTAAATCGTACACTCAAATACTCCAGTGGAAAGTAAAGAACTACACTCCCCTGTCGGTCGGCGTAAGCATTAGGTATTGAGCCTTTTAAAGCTGTCACACGAACCTTGTAAGACCGCAGTATGATATTGTATCAGCGTCCAAGTTTCTCTTTGACAAAGCGCTTCTCTGACTATCATAAAGCGTCACTCCATTCAGTGCGACATCCAGCTGACAAATCAGTAGAGTGCCTCCAGCCAAATGCTTCAGTAACAAAAACAAAATGATGCAAAAGTGATTTTAACATACCTTAAAAGCTAAGGTAAAACGAGCAACAAAAACGTGCAACTTGTGTTGCAACATTGCTGCAAAACGAGTTGAAAAGGAATGTTGCGCGTTTTACCACCCACATTCAAACCTTCTTGCAACAAATCAGGCTGTTGCAAGTTGCGTGAATACTGACTTCTGATTGGAAAAAATTACGCAGAAGTCGCCCTGTACACGTGAGTTTCGTCATTTGCTACAAAACAAGTTTGCCTTGGGCCAGTAAATCGCGCAACATATACAGATTTTGTTGCAAAAAGTAGAACCACTCTCTACTTTCTACAACAACTTTTAGCAAGATATCTGCTAGCCTGAGAAAACAGCGATGCCACCACTGGCTTTCCCCGCGAAGTGACGTCTGACAAACGAGCGCACAAATTCCATACTGATGACGTGTCACTACCCCGATATGGGTAGGCCTCCTGATTGGTCGCGTCGCGAGGGAAATTTGCTACTACCTATCAGAAACATTACCCAGATCTGGGTAGTGACACGTCATTAGCATGGAATTTCTGCGCGCGTTCGTCAGACGTCATTAAGCAAAGGAAACCATTGGTGACGTCGAAAAATGTCGGCTGTTTTCTCAGGCTAGGTATCTTCTACAATATTGAAGGGAAAGGAAGGAAGGAAGGAGTCATGGATGACAGGACAACAGACGTGCCCTCTTCACAATACATATTAACATGTGAACAGTAAGCTCGGACGACAGCATACAAAGGCGCCAGTGGCAGCCGCTCTAAGTCCATTTGTGAGCTTACTGTACCCACCCACCCCGCGATGTGAACGATGTGGGAAGAAGCAATAATGATATTCATAAGTCCACACACCTTAGCTGCTTCCTCTACTGTCTCTATTCCCGTTCCCACGGCCACAGGCAGAGCACCATAGTACTTGACCATGAATGTATGTGAAGGTTTGCAAGTTATTACTGGAATATTGCTTGACGGTTTGGTTTCTTGAGTACTGCTCTCTTCCTGTGTAAAAAGAAATGGAAAACATTTAATCCTGTCACTCCAAAAAGGGCTCAACAACATACATCAACAAAGATTTCACATGTTATGCAACAAAAATTCCGAAAAACACGATACGGATGTTTACAAAAATACCTCTGGAGTGTTTCATTACATAATTGCACCTTAGGATTTCATTGACGGGTACAAAATTTTAAAATTAACTAGGCTGGAAAGATCCACGTTTTTACGCTTCTAGAGTATGTTGCTTCTTTTTCAGATACATACAATATTGTGAGAGCATGTACCACAACACTAATTTAAATACATCATTTGCAATCTAATAAAATTGAATAAATTGTTCTCGTTTTTGTTTAAAATGTCACGTGAATTGTCTACTTCATTTCTGTTTTCTCCAAACGTTGAATGGCTAAAGAAATACCTTCTGTATATCGACTTTCCAAACTTTCCAACAATAATTATTTTTAAGAGGAAAGAAAAGCACTTCTCTTCTTAATTGATGACCTAATAATTTCAACTGAAGTAAAGGAAATCCAAACAGAGCAAAGTCATTTGGTATTTTCACTCCTAGAGTCAAAATGCAATTTGAAACAGACATGAAATCATAAGATCGCAATCTAGTCACTTACATTGAGCGGTACCTTAAGATTTTTTTTAATCTGACTATGAAAATAAAGCACAGTTATTTAACCTGTGAGCAATCTCACTGTTAGGGAGGTGGGAGTAGGCGTGGCTCCCTTTGTACCCCCTCCCCCTCTAACCTCAGACCTTGCTGACAAGCTAAATGGCCAAATTTCAAATCACAAACTATACCCTTAGCCCTGCTGCTCTAAGAAAACTTTAATTATCACTGACTGACCTTTTTCCCTCCTCCTTTCTTTGGGCCAAGCTTTCCCAGGAACCCTTGAACACTTGTCATAAAACCAGCCTGTTGTAAAATAACATAAAATAAAAAGTGGTACAAAGCAGCAATGAAGATGCAGAAATAAAGCGAGTAAAATAAATCGCATGGAAGATTTCAAGATTGATGCTATTTCGTGGTAGTCTCATTTATAAATAAAATTTGTAAACGAAAATTAAATCAATTTCGGTTAGAATCTAAGGGCCTGTTTACATGTAGGTGGGGGACCCCAAGTAGGTGAGGTAACCCGCCCGCCTGTTTAACTTGATAACGTTTACACGATAGGTGGGGTGACCCGCCACATGTTACCTCACCTACCTGGGGTACCCCACCTCTATGTAAACAGGCCCTAAGATCTTAAATAATGAAAGCTGACAGTGGAAATGTGTGAAATGCATGGCACACCCCGCTGTAACAGACCCAGTGGAATCCATATCCTCACCGGGTTCTCGGAGAAAACATCGCCGAGTTGGCTTATTTTCCACAGGGTTTTTTCTTGTGTACATCTTTACCGAAATGAAACCTTAGAAAACCTTTTACATATTGCTCTAGCGAGAAGAACTAAAAGATTTACACTTTTTTGTGCGAGATCGATTACCTGTACCCGCCGATTTCTTTTGTCAATGGTAATGTTTATATTCAGTCATTGCTTACTTGTATATCAGTGTCTTAAAAATGACAGCGACCTTTACGAAAAGGACAACTGCATCGGCGACAGCATTTCTTGAGACACTGTCCTCAAATGATGTACGGTACAGAAAGCAAAACATTATGGACCCCTCCCCATTATTTTTCAACCAATAAACACTTGTTTCTTGTTTCCTCCATGTACGTTGAGTAGCGGCACAAAACTGATGGAAGGTATTGTCGGTAAAACGCGAAAGAAATTACCGAGGACAAAGTGTCTCAAATAATTTTGTCACCAATTGCAGCTTTTGTTATGCATCTAATATCATGGGTGACAAATTTCTTCTTAATTTTGTCGCGAAATTTTAGCGTTAAATTGATAACATCACGAGTGAAATTACAAAATTGCTATGGCAACGTTCCGTATGTCTCAGTGCCAAGGTGGCGTCAAGGTTTTAAATGTTACGAATGATGACATTAGGGCATTAAACGACGCTTTTAAATACCTAAACACACGAAAGTGCACATCAGGTGTTTTGTCGAAAATGTCAGAAAAATTGTCAATTTAAGCCAAAATTTATGCTCTAACCGTTTACGGTGCGTGGAGTTCTCGATACGATAAACAAGTCACGAAGCCAAGATTGTGAGCGTAATTTGTTACCCAAGAAATTGATAGGTAAAAAGGCTTGGAAAATGTTTACAATTTGGACAAAACGCGCGTGAAATTATTCCCTTATTTCAATCGTCGCCATTTGATTACACATACCCATGAACTCGAGGGGTCCCTTATTCAAACGAGGTCTAACTTAGACCACGGTCTTTGAATATCTTCCTTAGTGAGTTATTTTAAGAAGACAAATGCTTTCCTAGTCCACGCCATATTATGATGCTTTCGTGAAACTGTTCACGATAAATGGTGTTTACGTAAGAGCGTTCGGCAAAGTGTAAACCGCTTAGAACGCGGTTTTGTTGAACACTGGCTAGACTACGTTTCAATTACTAGTTCGATAGGTGTCCCCTGTTGAAAATCATTACTGATCTCATAATTTTTCAAAAATATTTTTAAGTGTACTGTACGCTTGCTTCAACTTACCTTTTCCTTCTCTTTATCAATTTTTTCTTTCGCCTTTTCTTGCTCTGTAGCTGTTACTTTTTGTACAATTTCTGGATGAGCATCGATGCATTTCTGGAAACGTAGCTGAAAAATGAAAAATGAAAACTCATTTTAGTTCAAACAACAAACAATATTATGATTAAGAAATTAATGTCAAAACAGGTTCAACGGTGGACAAAAGCCAGTAAAGAAGCTTCCAGAAAAGGGTCCGAGGGTTAAAGGGTAATTTACCTTTGTTTCTGCTTAGTTTACATTGATCTTTAAAGAACAAATAAGCAAATTTTCACTGTCAGTTTGAAGGGAAGACCTTTCTTTCAAACTAGACGATTGTTGCATGTTTGTACTGTGCCGCGAGCTACGAGAAGTTTGCAGTCAATCAAAAACCAAGCGTTTTTGTTAGCTATGCGATAAAAGACGGTTCAGCTCTTAGCTATGCGTTTATCGAGAAACGGATGCACTTGGAAAGTTTGGAGAGCACACAAGAAGCTAGTGTTCGTTATATATCTTTGGCTAGCGCAGACTTGTTAAGACACATTTACCGGACAATTTCAGAGGATCAGAAAGGAAGAAATATTTTGAATCAAACGGTGACCACTCTTACCTCGCAGGCTTCAGCTAACGCTTTCGTAAGCGATGCCGCGTTCGGAGAACAATGGAAAACATGGCAAACAAATACCTCAGGAGCTGTGCTTACTATGTAACCGCAGAGTCTAAATAAAAAGGGAAAAAAACGTGACTTAACGTGATAAAGTGGTGCCAAGTCATATGTATTTTTTTTCTCCTTTTCTCTTGTTGATGGCAATGTGAATGTTTCTATGTTAATTTGTATTTTTCTTTTGTGGTTGTAGTCTAAATAGCGTACAACGAAATTTGTTTGGATATGTTTTTGTAGTCTTTTTAAAGTAATTTGTTAACTTTTTGCAGTGGCTTTGTTTTGTATCCACTATTTAAGCGAAAAAAAAAATAATAAAAACTATTAAATTACAAAAAAATAAAATAAAGATGTGCCAAGTTAACAAGACACACAGTGGTCAGTTTACTCTAGGCACGTCCCACCGCAAAGAGAAGTGGGCAGGAAAAAAAAAACGAGGGGGGTGGGGTAGGGGTGAGGTTCCCTCCTCTCTCCCTCTCCCTCTTTTCCTCCTTATTTTTTTCCTAGCTCTCTTCCTCCGCGCCGCACTCCTCCAGCCGAACGCCTGGAACAGGCTAGTTTACTCTTATGTGATAGCTCTTCTGCCTTGTTTCAAAACATTCAAGCAAAAGGTAAGGGTGGAATGTTATTTAGTGGAAAAGACAGCTCCCACAAAACGCTAATAGAGTCGAAAGGGACAACGGCCAAGTGAATAAACCTCTAACCTTCATAATATATTGGCCATTTCCGAGTTCCAAAAACCCTCACTTATCAAAACGGGGCTAAGTACAAAACCTTTCTTGTGAAAATGAGTTTTATTTGTATGAGAATAAAAAATGATTTTCATATCAATGGTTTTGCACTTTGCCTCGCTTTTAAACAAAGGCTTGGAGCAACTCGGAAATGGACTATTCTTAACTGTATAACCCAGGATTTCTGTACTTCTCTCCCGCCGCTATACGAAATGTTGCAAGAGTTGAATAATATTTGTTGTACTGTTCAAGGTACGGTTTTCCTGTATTATCAAAGAATGGCTTTGAGTACCTTTCATCTTTTCCAACGCCAAAGAATGACATAAATCTGACTCGATCCTCTGAAATCAACTCCTGCGTCTAAAACAGAACAATGAAAAACAAAAGAGTGACTATCAAAAAAGTGGGATGAGCAGGGCGTCCTAAATTAATGGCAAACCAGTTACACAGTGGTGTCAGATGGTAAATTTCGTAAACTTAACTAAATACTAGACAAAGAACAGAGAACTCAGAATAAATCTTTTCTTGACAAAGCTGACAAAGGAAGAAAAGGACGTCAAAAAATAAAAGACTGTGGTGGTATATAGTTTCACCTAACGCTTATAACATACAGTTGAAGGATGTAAGTATATCATACCGTACAGTCCGTGATTCTAATGTTTGAAACACTGATCTCAATCAGAATTGTTCGCCATACACCTCCTCTGCTAGTTAATTTGTTGATTGCTTTGTTCAAAATGTCCACACCTAAAATAAAGAAAATTTAATATACCATTTTACTTTTATGTTTTCTGTGAGTCTCAAGAATGCCTATAAATGCCCATAGATTACTTCTATGGCTAATAATTCATTTCCGTTTCATGCTTGTTAATGTAATGAGCCATTTCCGAGGTGCCCTAAGCCTCTGTTTCAAAGCGAGGCTAAGTGCAAAGGCATTGATATGAAAATCAAGCAAATAAAACTCATTTTCGACAGTCTTGTGCCCGCCTCAACTTGCGTCACTAGCACCTACGGCACCCACAGGTCACAACCTTTGTAACCGATATTGAAAGGTGTTGATTTAAGTTGTTGTCGTTTTTGATGCTGTTGTTGTTATCGGGAGGATATTCTTTCGGCAGTTTCCATTTAGAAATAAAGTGAGGAATCACAAGCCCCACCGTTAAAAATTAGGGGCATTTAACAAATAAAAGGGGTCGCTATTTGAAGTCATGCCTATTTAAATTGAATGTTTTTCTGTTTACGTCAGTGTATTTCAAAAACTGTGATTTTCAAATAAGACCCACCATCAATTACCTTGCGTACTACCATTTAATTTTCCTGCATTATTAATAGCTTCTTAAAAGTACTAAAGTAACTTCAAACCTGTTGGTTTTGAAACATCAATACTTCCGACATATTTTGCAGAAAAGCTCTTTTTTGGTTCAACGTGAGGTTTTTCATTGAAACTGGCATTATCTGAAACACAGAAAAAGTGAATTAACAGGTTTTAGTCAACACTGCATTATTGGGATGTCGGGAGTTTAAGATTTCACGATGGCGACAGCAACGAGAACGCCAAAAAATAGAGTTAGCAAACATTTGCCAAAGTGAGCTTCTTTGGATAATCGCCAAGAAATTTCAGAGAACGCGCAGTCACTTCAGACAATGGATTTTAAACCATTGCAAAGACTGACTGAAAAAAATAAACTTGAACCCGCGAAAAATTAAAAGCTAACAACTGGTTAGCGGAAAACTTAAAAAAACACGTGACCTGGGTGAGTTGGAACCTGAGCCCGTGACACGGTCATGTGATACTGATCAGCGGATACCCTGTTTTGACAGCTGTCAATTGACCATAATATGGATGTCTGTTATCAAGTTAAGCACAGGTTGCATGCTCCCACACTACCGGGAAAGTTTGACATTTCACATTGATTGCCCTATGTGTGGACGGATGGACGGTCACGTATTTATCAAAATCTCTCGGATGGGTAGATTAACAAAATTTCTTAGGGAGTGTTTACATGAGAAAACTCGCACCGGCGCGAGTTTCATACCGGGATGACTGGGTCAATTCATATCTCGTTATTTGAAGGTACACTTCATGTTGATAAAATACACGTAAGATTCAAGATCACAAACATTACGCATGCGCTGCCCGTTCCAGTCTACAGACCGATTTCACACCGAAACGTGCAGTCGTTTCGCGTTTACATGATACCGTTGTGAGATTTCGTAACGGAGTGAAATTCTCGCCCCGGTACAACAACCGGGGTGAACTCACGACGGGACGACTCGTGCCGGCACGACATTTTGTGGTGGTATCATTTAAACAAATGTAGAGCCATGAGAGGGAACAGGAGTGAACTCACTCCGGCGCGAACGTCGCCCCGGTGTCATGTAAACAGCCCCTTACGTGTGAGGCTCCGCTCGCGCGAGCTCCCCCTGATAATTTCTTTAGGATTTTTGAAACTTGACTTTCTTTCTTTCTCTTTTTAATTACTTTTTTATACCTCTTGCTGATGATGGAGGTGGTGTGTTGATTATATCAGACCATGGCTTTTGTAAGGATGTCTTCCGGTTGCTTTCTTGAGCCTTCTTCTTTTCTTCTAGTATTTTACTGCACATATCGTGCAATGCGTTGGTTATCGCTCGACCTGATATGTTACCATGGCAACGAAACATGTGGCACTTGTGTTTACCAGTTGAAGGATCTCGGGCAACATATGCGAAGTCCCTGAAATAAGCACAATAAGTCACTCGAATCTTTCGTTCTAAATAGTCCTGATCACCATTTTACATCCTGTAAGACCGCGGGAAAATGGTAACTTGTTGAGAAATGCTTTGCGCTTCAGGAAATATCGTTACTGAAGAAACAAGTGCGCAACGGACTTAATTCAATTGTGTGATCCTGAAGATAATCGCTTTTTCCAAATTGTCATTTTTATATTCTAGGAATATTTCGAGCAACATCTCCTAATCAAGTCAAGCTGTTGTCAAAAGGTTCGAAGAGGAGATGCTGTGACCAGAAGAGCTTTGTGCATGCAGTCAGAGGACATAAAATGATATGAAAACTGTAAGCTTTTTGAACCTTTTGGAATTTATTCGCTTGAGTGCCTCATGAAAGTAAAAGCTATTGCAAAGAGATTTTGAATTCACAATGCTAAAAAAACCTAAACCCACAAATCCATCAGGTCTCATCTTTTAAGGTTGATGCTTTTCATGTGACAATTTTTGGCTGTCGAGTCTAACATTAATGTTGTAGTTCAACTTCATCTTCGATTTAATTTTCCTTTACTTTTGGGTATAGCAATGCATTAGTACCCAGGAAACAGAGGAAAACAAACCACGGATAAAATTGAACCACAACATACAAAGTATTTGATTAACTGACCTTTGATCTTCCTTGCCAACACCCCACACCCTCATTTTAGAGACTGGTTGGACTAGCAGAGGGACCTTGGTTCTTGGTTCAACAAGTTTTAGAGCTTCCCCTTCCAACAGCAACCTTATATCCTTTCCCTATACAAGCAAGAAAAAACAGCTACGTTACTAGAGACAGTAGAGGGCATGCCAAATATAACACCCTTGGAGTTAACAGCTAAAGAATATGAAAGTGAACATGCTCTTCGCAGTAGAATGAACAGCCTAAGTGGTTGAAAAAGAACCTGAAAAATTCAGGCTTGACCTGAAATCGAACCCTTGTTTACCCTCTAGTTGGCTTGATTAGATCAATGGATAGAGCACTGCGTCCGCTCACCACAAAGGTCAGGGTTCGATTCCTGACTCCTGAATTTTTTCAGGTTCTTTTTCAACCACTTAGGTTGAAGAAGACCACGTTCACTTTCATATCTTTATCTGCAGTTCAAAAATAATATGATACCATGAACTTGTGGTATATTCTTCGTACAACAAACGAAATTCCTCAACCTCAATAATTTGTTCTTCCAGGTACAATAACACCATATTCTGGACTTTTTTAAGCGATCCCACCTTTTATTTTGGTCAAAATACAAAATATTGAACTGTGTCGGACAGACCTCGCGACTCAAGACCAAAGCTTATGTTTCTGGCAGTTACAGCACCATTCTTGTTCCAGGCTTTTGCTCTGCCACAGTGTTAAAAAAGCAGTCGCGTCCTCAATCTAAAGACCCCCTATTTAATAATTGCATACCTCGCCCCAAGTCTCTGCAGTATTCCAAAGATCTTTGCGTTTTTGAGCCAGTGTTGAGATACAGTCGGCAATGGTTTCACTCATGTTATGTGGTGCCACCTGATTCTCCTCAAGCTCAATCCAACCCATAGAATGAACGGGAAAGCTGAGGACCTAGAAAAAAAGGCATCCTGAAATGTCAAGGCTTATCTTTTTATTCATCACAGAAGAGCATTTACAGATGTATTAAAACAAACATAAAGCACGCACAGTGCATTGTGAAGTTATACATACATGTATGAGCAAACAGATTGCAAAACAGTCGGTTTTCTAGTCAAAGTTGGTTTTTCAAGGTACAAAGTGCTGACTGCGTCAGTGACACTCTCCATTTTCAGCCTCGCTCCAGAACTTTCGTTTGACTATTTGCGCATACTTGACTTTGCAGAAATGCGGACTGTTTTGCAGTCTAATAAGCACAAGGAAAAATTAATAACATCTAGTAAGTGCAAACTGCATGTATACCTTTTGCCTTTCTGGACTCTCTGGAGATTTAGATTCTTCGCTTGTTTTCTTCTGCAACTAAAAGGAACAAAACAACCTCACATTGTACGCTTTACTACTCCACAGAATATGGATTTTAAGAAATTATTAAAAGGAGATATAATCACATTATTGTGATCCTGCAGTTGTTTCAGTTTTGTTTCGTTCTTCAAGCAACTCCTGCATACCCTTATTGATATGCAAACAATCTGTGATCACTGTCAATTTCTCCTGATGATAATGCATAATCAAGAAAGAGGATCATGAGATCTCAGACAAGGTTAACATTTTCACTCTTAATAGTGGCCAAAGAAAAAAAAATCACAAAAGATTGAAATTTCTTTTTGTAAAATACTTAATAACAATAGTCTCATTCAAACGTTCTGCCAAAGGGTTTCATTTGAATGGTAACACCAAAGAATTCCATTCATAGATTTAAAAGTTTGGTTGACAAATCATCTGCTACAACTTAGTCTATGACAAAAAGGATTCATAAGGGCAATAAACGTTCACTCTACGATATTTTAAACCAAAACTGGACAAAACTTTGCATAAGTTAACTTGGCTTTCCTGAACTTTGAACAGACAGAGGAGAGCAAGATTTTAACATGTTCATAGACCATCTAATTTGTCTTTAGATACGGTTGAGCAGGCATATGGAAATAATTTCTTCTTAACAGCATGGTGAATTTATTGACTACTAGCACCAGGGGTTGGGGATGCCCTTCACACTCTCTCTTGCCCACTCACTGAATTCCTTGCAAAACAGTTCACAAGCTAGATTATGTTTTAGATGCTTTCTGGCTCCTCCTGTATTTTTAGGGGCTTCTTTTATCCTTAACTGTTAAGTATTTTGTTCTAACCAGGAAACCAGTTTCAAATGAATGGCATCACTAATTTGTAATTACCTATCAAAATTAATGCCTCTAAAAACTGCAAGATAATTAAAAAGTGGTGTGGACACTTATTTTTATACAAGATTAATAAGCATGGCTCAGGTTTCCTTTCTTGCTGAATTTTTCATGAACTCTGATGCCACACAGCCCTCACTGGGACCTCCTATGTACAACCATCTACATGTAGTACTTGTTCACAAGATGTATCACATTGTGGGAAAAAGAAAAAACATTAATGGCTCCAACGTCTATCAAGACCTACAAACTCCGTTTTTTGTGACCAATAATCATCACTGTTTTTTTTGCCAAGGTTGTTGATAACTGCATTTTTCAAGCTGCTAGATATTTGTTTCCCAAATAAAATAGTGCACCTTTACTCAGCCCCACCTATTCCATTATTTGCCACTTTCTTATTGCCTTTAATGCAAGAGCATTGTTTTGTTTCCAGTTTCTCATGGGAAAATGTAAAAACTGACAAAAATATTACTAGAAATAATGGTTATACAAAATTTGGAGGGATGACCAAAGTGCCGAAAAGCAGAAAAATACATGACAAATTGGCAGCCACTAAGTGACTATAAAACTCATTGAAAATCCAAGCTCCTAGAGAATCATACATCATAATTTGTACCTTTGGTCTTGTTGCCACTTGAGGAAGGGTCCACTGAGTTGTTCCTGATGCTACGTGCCAGTAATAAGTTCCATCGTCACCCTTAACCTCCCTCCACCCCTCAGGTAATTCACAAGGTCCATTTTGATCATCACTCTCCCCTCCCAAAGAGTGCTTCTTTTTCAAAAATGTAGGGGTGAGGGGAGGTTCTGTTATGTCAACTTCCATATAAGGCTTGATGGGTGGTTTTTCATCAGACGATTTCTGCTCTTTGTTCAAAGGAATGTCAACTTCTGAAAACGTTATTCTGGAATCGACACTGCCCTCTATTCTCATTATATCTGCCTGTGATTTTGAGCGGCGATGGTTGAATTTCTTCCCAGCACTGGGAGAAAGACCACACTTCTCACTGTCTTTATTCAATTTGTCAACCACATTTCCATCAGATAGCTGGCGTCGATGCTTCTTTTTAAATATTTTCAAGCCAACACCCTTCTTGGACTTCTCCTCAGGTTGCTGTTTTGCTTTATCAAGCTGAGAGACATTCTCTGAAGGTTCAGTTCTTTTCATAGTATCCTCAAGATTGGGAAGCCGTGAGGGCAGAGGTGGAGGGAGCTCATCATCACTGTTGTCATCATCACCAGATGTTGCACGTATTCGAAGCTGTTCAAGGGATTCCACAGAACTGTTCTGCTCATGTTTTGGTTTCTTCTTTACTGCTGCATAGACTGGCTGCATTTCTACAGGGCAGAATTTCATTCAAAAACTCATTAATAATTCATAAAGAAAAAACAAAATTACTCTATGATTACAGCTAAACTTAACGTCCAATTTTTTACACCAAAATAACCCCAAATCTAAATATTAATGCAAGAATGAGTTGATCTATAATTATCAGAGATTTTGAAGCCATTCAAAAAACTTGCAGTTGTGTAATATCAGGTTTAAAAACTCTCAGCTTTGTCTCGAGTTTTTTAAACCTGATAATACCCTCCTGCTCATTTTTTAAACAGTACACAAAATAAAAGTGCATCAACCAGTAATGACTTACTTACACTGTACACGTTTTGAAAAGATTTTCTTTATGCAATTACAACAGTCTAGGAAACTTGAGGTGTTTCTTGGTGTTGTGGAAAGCATTGTTGGTTAGCTATTGTTTTAATTAAGTGTGGGTATTGTTCCATGTCAGCAATCTTTTGTGTTACGCCATTTGGTGAACACAGCCTCCCGTATGATAACACATACAGTCAACGCTCTCTAAGAAAGACACTTTTGGGCCCCTGTGTCCATGTGCCTGTCTTAGAGAAAAAGCAATGTCTGTCTTAAAGAGAGTTAAATAAAGGGAGTAAGGAAAGGTGGGGAGCAACTTACAGAGGTGTCCATCTTATAGAGGTGTCTGTTAAGACAGAGGTGACTGTCTACTTAATTTAATAAGATGAAAAAGAGGACTTTCAGCAAGAAATGGGAAATACTGAATCAGGAGATAAATTTTTGCACTACCTGTTGTTTGACTGATCATATCTCCAGAAGATCTCTCCTCCTTTGGATGGTCCTTTGGTTTCTTTTGCACAACAGCATAAACTGGTTGTGATACATCCTCTGTATTCACTGGATGAAAAATTAACATGATACCAGTCATTATATTTTAATTAAGTTTAAACTTTATGTGTAACTTTATGTTTTACAAGCTACGGTTTACATGATACAGGTGAAATTTGATCTCAGGTTAATTTTGATTAAACCTAGGTTGATTCTCAATGTTCAACATCTCCTAGCCCAAGAAGACAAAGGAAATTGAGATGGTGGCATGACGTCTACGTCAGTTACAGTGTAGTTGCATGTGGCAGTGACCAACTCAAAAGGCATTAGCTCCTTTAGTCACTCTGAAACATATCGTAATTTTTGTCGCAACTTTTTGTAATAGTGCAAAAAAATACAAAATCTGAATCTGAATCAACCTAAGTAAAAACAAAACCTGAAATCAAATTTGACCTGTAACATACACTTAACTGTGAAAAACAGCCCACCTCAAAAAAAACTAACAGTTAACTGTCCAACGATGTTAAGTGCATATAATTTAAGGTATCTGCGATTCAAGGGGTATATCAACAGAAAGTCCAAGTGACTTCCAATCTGTAATATCAAATTCTCTTTTTACAAGTATAAATACAAGGCCAATTAAAAGGAGAATCTAACAGTAAATCAGAAGTGAAGTATGGCCTTCATTCCAGACACCCCTTCAACTGAAGATGCTGGGGTTACAAATGTTGCTATAATCAGACGATTTTTTTACTCAACTGTAAGCAACTAAATGGTTCTATGTGTAGTTTCCTTTTCAGAGTTGCTCTTCACAGTGTGTTAAGTTTAGCACCTTTTGGCAATATTATCAGTTTTGAGAAAGTTAGCTCGCCACTACAACTGTATCCAAACTGTCAACATCAGAAGAGTAATTTGATGATTATGTCTAAAGAACTATGTATTAAATTTTGTTGTTGTTTTCTTTTTTCTAGCGTGATGAATTTTTCTTCAAAAGAAAAGTTTCTTAGGTTTCACAGCAGTGATTTTGTTACCTCTGTATCCTGCATCCCTGATGCATTAAAATCCCCAAAGACACAAAATAATTCATGGTATGCATCCTATAGAACACAAAGATGGATCGATCCATCGAACTGAAGATGTTTTTGTAGAATATCCTGTTCATGTGATTTCTGTGGCTCTTATTGTGGCTGTTGTTTAACAATGCATATTTATTTTAGTCTTTATGTACTTGAAATAGAAGGACTATATTTTAATTTCAGTAAACTGCCTACTAAAGAGTTTCAAACAATTAATGTGAAGGCCCAAGCAATTTCAATTTAGCACTCGTTTTTTAGAACTGGGACTCATTGGTTCTGCACTGGGACTCATGATTTTTTACAGGATGAGTCCCAGGACTCACCTTAACTATTTGTAACAAAATCACTGCACAGATAACCAAATATGCACAAACCTTTCTCATCATCTTCACTATTTTCCCCTTTTGCCATTTGTGGTGACGCATGCGTACTCAAGCCAGGTCCAGAGTAAGGCCTTGGTATTGGAGGCGGTAACCTCTTCTCTCCCGTAGAAGTTTTTCTTTCGTTAGAATTTGTCTTGGAAGATTTTCCTTCCAACTCCCCAACATCATCACCCTTAGTCACATCCCGAAGTTCGCCATGTCCAGAAAATGGCTTGGGTATAGGAGGTGGTAATCTTTTCTCTCCAGCCGCAGTCTTTCTCTCATTAGAATCAGTCCTGGAAGATTTTGTTTCCAACTCTTCATTATCATGTCCAGTATAAGGTTTTAGTATTGAAGGTACCTTCTTTTCTACTTCAAACACCTTTGTGTCATTAGAAGTAGTCCTGGAAGACCCCTCCTCCAACTCCACATCTTCACATGCTTGTATCATATTCTGTAGCTCTCCTGCAATGGCTTCATACATGCTGGAGTCTTTTCTGCCACCCGGAATTGCAGGTACAACGTCACCTAACTCTACCAATGGCCGCTGCATGGGACTGTTTTGTCTTGGAGGTTTGCTATGTTCTGGTTCTTTAGAATCGGCTACCTTTGACTTTTTCTGTACAACAGCATAAACATCAGATTGTGGCTGTGTTGTGCTGTTTTCAGCTGGTGTATTCTTTTGGCTAGCAGGCACTACTTTGATATTTGATCTGTCAAAGCCACCATCAACAATTGTTACTTCCTCGTACGCCAAAGTCATTGGTCTACCCACATTACCTTGTCTTTCTGCCTTATAATCCTTAGAAGATTTTCTTGCCTCCACAGGAGCGGCAATACCCCCACCCTCAGTCACAATCAAAGGGCGAAACTCATCTCCAGCATAAGTATAAGACCTGCGATCATTGCTAGTGTCACCATCCATAGAAAGCCTATTGTCACTCCCTGTGTCATACTGTCCAGGATGCCGTGTGGCTATGCCACCCTCATCAGTTACCAACAGAGGTCTAAATTCAACTTCAGTGTACGAATAACCAACACTCTTGCTTTTCCCTGGCGTCAATATAGTTTTCTGCTCATCTTTGGCAGACGGGCTGAGAAGCTCACCAGTTGACACATCACTGTCATCGAGCGAACCTGTCTCGTAGCCAAAGTCACCATCAGCATTCAATCGATCTACACTCCCACGTTCTGAGTCACTGTCACTAGCATCATAACTGCTCTCCTTTTTTATCTCATTTTTCTTCTTAGTGTCTGGTTCCTTCACTGTCTTTTGTGACGATGGTTTTGCGGCAGCTGCTACCCTTGAGCGAGGCACAGGGGTTACTCCCTGAGTTGGTGACTTTTTCTTTGCCGCTGAGACATCTAGATTTAAAAATTAAAAATATATATTATATTGCGAGATACTTTGGGAGCAGAAATTAGTTGAGGTGGGTCAACTTTTGCAATTTCATAATTTCTTCAATAATGTTGAAAAGAATGATATTTGCTAATTATAAAAGAAACCAAAAAAAACATTAAGGTTGATGACTGCAAAATTAACGATGATGAAGTATCTTTTGAGCATTACCCTAATAGGTATTAAATCTTGTGATTTTAATTTTTGTGAGTATTACTGTGAAACTCACAAAACCGTGAACACCAAAAATATTTCTATGGAATGTTATAGTGTTGTCAGGAAATAGCCAATAAGGCATCAGGAAACTAAACCGCAAACAGCAACGGTAATTAGTTTGTGGATTTGAGGTTTGCTCGCGTGTCCTGAACATTATTGATTGGTCACGACACAATCACCATTCTTGAAATTTTTCACGTGTTCACGGTTTTCCGAGTTTCACAGTAACAATAATTTTGCAATATTTTTGAAATCAAAAAAATCGTTAAAAAACGGTGAGAAAAAAACAATGTCATGATTTGGCTATCGACAGCAATAGCATACTGCTGTTAGCAGAAGAGTATTGTGCAGATTTTAAGCTGTGATTTGCTTATCGAATCATCAAAACAAATATTAGAGTGACTTGAATTTCCCACTTCTTTCTCATCTTTGTTCTTCTTTAACAAAATATCTATAAAAGATGTCACCCGAAAACCTAGATTTTTGCATACACTTGAAGTAGAATCAAGCAAAACAAATAACAGTTTTAGGACCAAATCCTTGCATTCAATAGTTTTGTTTTCAACTCTCCAGTTATAAAGGGTGCAAATTTATATCAGACATTTAAATAATAATTTATTCCATCCATAGTGGTAAAACTACAGGCAGCCAAACCTAGCCGCTCTAATGTTGCCTGTGTTTCTTCTTCAATAACAACAACAGCCACACAAATGGAAGGTGGTCTGCCTGTGATAAAACTACTGCAGCAGGGAATTGATTTACACCTTACAACAACACCTGTCCTTGGCCATTAGTCCTAAAATAACAAATTTATCCAACCATTCACAGGGCATTATAGTTTTTGAAAAAGAACCAATGAAAATTTGTAGGTTAGTTATGCACATGTACACTGTAGGTATGAACTTAAGACAACAATAATAAATAAGAAGAAAAAGATTCATTGGGTTACCTGTGCCAGAACTGGAGGTTTGTTTACTCTGCTGGGAGGCAGGGCAAGTCTACAAGATACAAAATGAAACATATGTTACCAATATTACTATGCTTTTCAATGACATGCAACCTCTGATAAATCAGATACCCAACATGTGTGTACATGCATGTTCAAAAATCACCATGAGCAAATGAAAAAAAGGATCAAAATCTACCACTTACAACCAGTAGGTGTAACCTACTGACCTCAATGAGGAAAACCTATTTTTCCTGAGAGGTTTGTTGAATTAAGCTAAAATGTATTCCAGGCTTATATTTTAATGATTATTTTAGAGGTCACAAGTTACTGAGGAATGCAGTGAGGTAAGAAGAGCATATCCTTGAGGAACATCAGGCACCAAAGATACCTAGTTTTAGACATAGGTGCAGTATATGGTATTTTAACCCTTGGATTTACACACCACTGTACAAAGGGGAGGGAGGGGGTTGATGGAGCCCCCCTTGGGTTTTTGTTTTGTTGCAATTTTGATCTTTGATATTTTATCTTCTCTACAACACGAGGTATATTTTATGGGTGGTGGAGCTGTGACATCACCAAACATGGTTGCCATCTTGGCCACCATCTTGGATTTTATCAAGAATTAGAAATCAGGTAAAAACAGTGAGAATTAACAATTTTTTGCGCTTAACATGTTAAATAACACATAAATAATTACTTTGAATCATTTCATTCAAAAGTTTTACTTTTATTATTGAAAAAAGTTGAAAAAAAGATGCATTTTCACTCAAAAATGGCTTGACCACCTGCTACTTATGACATCATATCGCGTAACCATTACAGGGCTCGAAGTTATCTTTTTAGTGCACTTGCAAAGTTTTGCTAGTAAGATTTTTTTCGACTAGCAAACTGGTGAGACCACAAGCAATTTATTTCCCTTTGTTTGGGACACATGGATAATTCTAACTCGCAATCGTTTGCTAGTGGATATTTTTCTTACTCGCAGATTATCAAAATCACTCGCATTTTGCGAGTTTGCGAGCGTTAATTTCGAGCCCTGCATTATAACTGACCACCACTAAACTTCTGATTTCTTTGTTTGACCTCCTTTGTACATTCAGGGAAAACACCACGAACAAAACGTTTCCCTTTCAGATTATACATTTAACATTATTTCTGTTGTCTCAACAAGTTAATGTTTCTTCGATTCGTAAGCATCCCGCTAATTTCCTTCTCTTTGAAATGTTACCCTCTTTTTGCATTAATTTCCTGTATTTGAAAGTCATTTTCCACTAAATTTACCTTAATTTAAGTCGATATCCTTAATTTCATGGAGTGTTAATTTCCTATAATAAGGTACCTCAGTGTACTAGCAGTTGGGATGTACTTTGGATTGCACATAACACTGTGTTATGCCCCCTGAACATACAGTATTTATCAAACATAACAGACAATTTTGGATTGGTCTCTAGCTAGTAATGACAGGGTGAAGAGACATGAAGTGGCACAAGGAGACAAGGATTTGCATCACTAAATTTTTAACCAAAAGGCTGGTTCACAGGCTATATTAGACCCAATATGTTTAATAATGATAAGCATCAAAATCCGTTTTAAACTATTTTTGCCCCTCTGTAATCTTGGGTTTCAGTGGTCCTTGTAAACCTGTCTTCTTTAAGGCAAAACTTATTTAGCAACTGAACCAAAGTGATTCAAGCCATTCTTAATAATTTTAACGCTTATAACTGCCCTAAGGGCTGAATAGAGGGATTAGTCTGATTTTCAGATAACACATGACCTATCTGCATCAACAAGTACAGTCAACTCTGGCCTTGTGGACATCACATAACAAGGACAGCCGCTAAATCCCAGGCAAAAGTAAATTATAGATGTTTGAGTGAAATTAACTCTCACCATAATGAGGACACCAACTCAAGGTCCCTACAGTGTCTGCTGTAGAGGGAGTTGACTGTCCTTAAATATCGAGCCATAGAGATAGTGGTCTTTTAGTTTAAAAGACTCCCAGCATATGAACTACATACATTAACCTTCAGTGTTAAGTCTATTTATCTCTCTTAAACTGCGTCCGAACAGCTACAAATCAGGTTTTTCTTCAACACTGAATGATACAAATTGAAGGTACAACCTCACTTGATTTTAATCTAAATGTACTCATGAAGATGCATAATAAGAACTCAAGAAATTGTATACATAGCAGCTAGAATATTTAACCATCCTGACCTTATCTACATAATTCATGTTACAAAAAATTGTTTTGGTTGAAATGTTACATTGTGTGATTAAAATACTGTATTTTGCAATACAGCTTTTTGACATATTTTCTGCAAAAATTTAAATGTACAGAGAACGAAAATGTGAATAAAATTATAGGGACTATAATTATTTTTATGATTGATGTGTGTTTCTCAAAAGGAAAGCTGCTGAAACACTAGACTTCAACATACGGAAGACTAGCAGACTACAGATGGCAGAAAACATAACTTTCTGCTTATCCTTTAAACAATTAATTACACTGATCATTGGCATCTACAAATATATGCAACCATCTTTGTTTAAAATCTTTAACACACGTTCAATATCACAATTTGCAGTATTGATAATTCAAAATGCTTAAAATGGATAAATCCAACAACATGAAGATAAATACAGCACAGCCCAGCATAGCCCTCTATGGAAAATTAATGATTAGGAGATTTAGAGATTGAACAGTAGATAATCTGTCAGGTTAAAGAGCACTAAAAGTACCTTACCACAAACGATATTAAGTATACAAGATAATGTGTTGCTCTATACAGAACTCTTAAATGTTTGCTCAGCATTCAGTTCACATGGTAAGCATTATCTTTACAGGTGATGCAAAGCAATGAAACATTAACACAACATACTCTTCAAATTGACAAATTATCTTGCCCAAATGTTTAACTCGAAACCCAACAAATAACATAAGTTTCAAGTTACAAATGGATAGTTTTACCTTTTCATGGTAAGAAACTTTGCAGTTCTGGCAGTAAAGTGCCTCACATGTGGCACAACAAATAACTGGTTCCTTGGATTCACAAACTGTACACACAATCTCTTTCATGATCAACTTCAATTCCAGAATATCCACACAAAGCCATTTTGACTTCAAACTTCTCTTAGAACATCATTTTCTCCTCACTAAGTGGTTATAAAAACACACTTCCTCTTAAGATATCAATGAGGGGGTTTAAGCTACATTTGCATATCTTTGCATTTTTCCCTACAAGTCACTTTTATTTTAAATGCAGATTTAGATGGGACGGCAATAAATTATTTACAATACCTGCTGGGGGCATTGAAAAGCACTCCACGTGCTAACAAAATATAATTAGCCCAAATCCCCTGGTTTTTATTTCAAAGGAAAAGTTTCTTCATGAAGGATTTTGGTTTGAAAACTACATTTGCAAATGAAGAGAAGATTAATCACTTTCTAAATAAAGGCCATTGTGTTTTCTTGGAATTATTCAAATGAATTGCACTTATTAAAATTCATAGTTTAAAACTGTATTGTTTAAAAAATAGCAAGTTTTTTAACACTTATGTGTGATTTTGAAACAAAACAAGGAACCTTTTGCAACACATCCAAATAGCTCTTCAGATAATAAACTGAACAAAAAAAGGAAATGACTTCTGCTTAATTAATAAGACACAGTTAAGATACAAAGATGAAACTTGTGACTCTATCAGTCAGTCTCAGCTATTTCAGAACAAAAACAATTCAAAAGCCAACAGGAAATCACAATATCACATCCCGTCTATAGAATAGCAACATGCCAGGCACAAGGCTGTCTTGTGGACATCAAGGTAATTTATTACAGTAAGACAACTTAGTGACTTGTTTTCCTTGCCAACTTTCTCCTACACAACACTTTCATTTTTTTTGCTTGAAGCAAATGATGGTATTTAAAACACTACGGTACTTTTGGCATTCATTTCCGGTTATTCTTCAAATACAAGTAGTTTGCATTCAAAAATGTTTCTCAAAGAGTTTAGACTGGGCAGGTCAATATTTATTAATAGCCACCAATAATAACTAAAATCAACGAACCACAAACCAAGTCATGTACCTGCATGACTCTAAATATAAAAAAGTGCATGAGTCATGTGATAAATCATGACTCATGGGGCAACTGTATGCTCAGTATGGAAACTTATACTACCTTTGGGGACTTTAAAACCCAGCAAGTTGTTTTATAGACAAATAAATAAAAATACATAAATAAATGACAGCTTAGTAGTACAAGCACAGCCACGACATATTTCTCTTATAGACATAGTGTTTCTGGATCAAAATGGAAACCCCACAGTAAACCTCTTGGAAAAAAACAGTGCAAGAACCAACAACAAACTCAACCTACAAAGTGTTGCCTCTTAAATTTGAGCCCAGGCCACCGATTCAAATTGTTTCTCCTTCTTTAAATTTTCTGGAGTACCCTGTATAAATCCTTAAGTCACAGAAATGGAAAGCACAAATAGCTACTAACCCAGTCCTACAGCTGTAGAAGATGCTTTTAACCCTTGATTTTTGCTGGACTTTACGTCAAGTGAGGCAGGTTTCAACATTACTTACAGAGAGCTAAAATTAATAATCTTTTATTATTATTTCCAGAGCTCAAAATATGCTTTTAAAACCCTGACTCTGAGGTTAGGACATGTTTCTTCAAATCTTTGATTTGGTCAGACATTACAAATTTCACATTTCATCTGTATGAGGTTATTCAAGATGAAATAATTACAAAACCTGCTTCAATTTAGTTTATACACAAATATGCCATTTAGAGGTATACGCTACTCTTGACTTCTCTAAAACATTTTCTCAAAAATTTTTCCATGTACTGAAAATAAAATAAAATAACTGATTAGAATTCCTCCTGAAAAATAATGGAACTGAGCCTGTGATCAATTTATTGAAAACCAATAACTGGTGACCAGAAAACTTCAACATCACCTCAATGAATTGTAGCCCGAGCCCACAATACAGTCATGTAATACTGGTTGGTGGATACCCTGTTTTACAGCTGTCAATTGATCATAACACAGATGTCCAATATTAAGTTAAAAACAGATTGTACATGTATCTCCAAGCTAGTGTGCCATATCCCATCCACTTACACGAAAGGAAAAACATATGCATGTACTAACAAACGTAAGCACGACAGATGATTTTGTCACAACCGAAATTTCTTGGACGCATAAATTAAATCAAATCAATTAATATTACAAATTTTGCTCTGCTGAAGAGTGTGAGAGCTCTGCTAATATTTCCTACAAATATTTATATCACTTCAACTATACAGTGATAGCAAAACACACAAAGACAAAGTGGAGACCTTGGCTGCAGTTTTATTGAGCAAAATTTTTTTTCTTGCCTTGGCAACCAAAACAGTCGTATAACTAGATTATTTTGAAAACTAGTAATTAATTTAATTAAATAAATTTCAACCATAGAAATTTCTTTCTGCACCATGATGCAAGTTTATACATACACATGCAAAGGACCATGAGCTTGAGCCATGTACATGTATAAATAATATTATTGGGGCTAGGAGACAAAAAAAATTGAGAATCAACCTAGCTAGGTTAAAAAATTTTAACCTGAACTTAATTTTGACCTACAACATGTACTGTATATAAACTTGGGAATGAATACGATTCTTTTACCGGTTAATGTTAGCAAGATAGCTCAAAAAAAGACTTTTTTACACGAGAGATCCCAGTTATCAGATATGTGCACCAGCCTAGAGAAGTCTCACAAAGTATTATTATTCATTCAAAATATTCTACATTAACATTTTTTATTTTTGATTGTCTTAAATCCCCTGAGGTAATTCTTCATTACCACCTAGCATTGATGTAAGTTCAAAGAATAAAATTAAAGGTGTATCTCATTCAACATCCATCTTAATTACCGCCGCTGCCAATTATAACACATAATTCATCAATGGTCAAATAAATTGTTTGACCGCATAGGTCAAAGAACAATTTCATCTGTTATCTTACTGGAGAATAATTATTTTGCCTTAGGGAGCAAGCTTATCTGCTACTCAATAACAGGAGAGTGTGAATAGACATTAAGCAATAATATTGGATGGGGTTTTCGTGATATCTGGAATAATCCAGGTCTTGGTACATGCAGGTGTTATCAGCCAGACCTTGATTACTCCAGCCATTACAAAACTAAATCTTATAACTGTTTAATTAAACATTTCTTTAAAGAAACTTAAGACAAACACACCATTGCACGGAACACAGTTTGACATTGCCCTTGGGAAATATGCATTCCAGACGTAACCTACAGATAAGCAATCTATAGGTAGCACTGATTCCCAAAATAATAACTGAAGGCTCTGAGCCAATGAAAAGACAGATAGTGAGTAAATGAATGGTAAAAGTGGCCTGAAATACCAAAGTTGATCTCGTACGCAATCTCATTCACAACAAAAAGTTTTATCTAAAACTACACGGCACCTTGGTGTTGTTAGTTTTGCTGGTTTGTTTGGTTCTTGCTGCTGGTTTAGGAGGGCTTGAATGGTGAGAAGCTGACGTCTGTCCACTGGTTTTGCTCCCAGTGGCACTGCTGGTTGTTGATTTTGAAGATGTTGATTTCTGGAAAATGAAAGTTTCACATGTAGTTATTACTACAGTTAGTTAAAAATCACCAATAATTATTTTATATATCTGCAGTATACTTTGAAGGGTTTTCAGCTGCAAAGATTTGTACTTATTATCCAAATTAGAGTTCAATATAGTTCAACTAATTTCTCCCAAGACAATATTACATGTAATTTCTCCAGCTATAATTAATTTACAACTTTGAAACTCAGCTACTTTGGCAAAAAAAAAAAAACAATACATTAACCAGAACTATGGATTGTAAACTTGGTTAGATCCTATGACATTACTGCGAAAGCTTACATGTAATTAAAGTCCATAGAAACTACATTATACATTTCTCCAGGGCTGATTCAGATTCTGCAGATCACATTCCACAAGTCATAGCCAAAATAATATATAATACGATGTAACTGGTTCCTTGGGAAATTAGCTTGTGTAGTTAATTTTGTTTCCCTCAATCTCAAAGTTGGCCACAGTCCCACCTCAGGAAATGTGAAGATTCTTGTATAACAAAATCAACGTAGTTTCCTGACAGACCCATCATGAAAAAAATGAAAGAGCTCGTCAGGGAGCAGTCAACATTCACAAGTAAGAGTGTACGGTAACTCTCTGATATCATAGACTTCCTAATGTTGCCAGTTCAGAGACTTTTTGTAGCCTGGAAACAGTTTATTATTGTTAAGTGTTATGTGAGCTCAAAGAAAACAATGAGAGCACAATCATATCATGCTATTGCCGAAAAATTCCAGAAACCAGTATACCATATACACAACAACATATTAATTTTCAATTCACACTACATCTATACTTGTCCAAATCAAAACTAGTGTAAACAAACCTTAACTCCATGGCTCAGTCAAAAAGCTCACTTAAATTAGCAATGATATCAAAGTATTAATGGTGGCAAATGGTAACAAAGAATTTGCTGGACATCAAAAGAAATTTTGACCTGGTCTTACATGTACATGTAGATCTCAAGAGCATTAGTGACAAGTTTCAAAGTCAGACTCACAGCAAGGTATTATCAGTTACTGTACGTGGGTCTAGTGAAAACATACATCGTCAGAATTGGAAGCAGAAACAGAAGAACAATGTTTGGAATGAGCATTGTTTTTGATACACCTGGATTCTCCTACACGTGTAATTCTGCTGATTCCAACAATCTAGTTTTCACTAATTCATAAGGGACAAAATCATAAGCAGAGTCCGAAGAAAAATTCTCGCTACTCAGATCACTTTATGCTAGCCCATTTTGTATTTGCACTGGGCATGAGTGCTATTCATAATTGCATCTCCAATTACAACTTTGACTCCTACTCTGTGACTAGTGTACAATCAAACCTCTATATATGACCAGCTCTCATAAGCAACCACCTCCCACAGCGACGACCTATTCAAAACACCAAAATTTTCCCAGTAAAAGCCCTATAATTTGAACCTCTCGTAAAACTACTTCTCCTAAGCTGCTGCCACCACTTTTTGGCCTGATAGATTTATAGTTATCCATTAATTATTATTGTGACCCTCCACAGGATTTCAGGCAATAAGGTGAACTCACGCACACGGCACGTTATAACACACTTGCACGCTAATGGCATGACACGCTTACCGTGTGGATATGTGCATGAAAACAATTGATACTGGAGAGCGCGTTCGTAGCCATTGTTCATATCTGGTTAACACGGTAGAGCTTTGTTTTTTGTCTTGATGCATGGTGTGCTCTCTCTTTCGGCTACATATTCTACGCAACTCAGAGTATACAACAAACTTGCAATGACAACGTACATGTAACTTTCATGTAGAAATTGCATACAATGCATTCTATTCAAAGGTGCAGATGTGTCCAGACACTTTCTCAAAGACCCCTGTGGCTCGATTCTTATTAGCGACCATCTCCTGTAAGTGACTACTAAATCTTAACATATTTTTTTGGGTGGTCGCTTACTGGATGTTCCACTGTGTTTACCAGTTTTTAGAAATTAATTTAAGCAAGAATAGGAAACACTATTCCAAGTCTTCATTCAGAAATCAAAATAGGGGTTTCAGTTAAAATGTTCAGTGATACCAATTTTTATTACAGTTTTTTTAAAATAAATATAGCTACGAAGCAGTGATGTAAACAAGAAGGCGGATGATATGTCACTCACATCACAAGTAAAACACAGTCATCAGTACAAAAAATATCCTTTCAATCAAGTATACATTTGCTGTGAGCTAAATAACGCACAATTTAATAACATTTTAAAAAGAGAACTTTCAACTTTATTTTGGCCCTGTATTTAATGCGCAAGATTTCAAGATTACAAGATTTCTACATTTATTTACTCTTTAAGTGACAAGTTGTACATTGTCTTGTCTAGTGCCATAAATGGTTAAATGTTCAGTGCGGAAATTAACATTTTTTGCACAGAGTCAAAACTCAGCAACGCTCAGAAATTTCTTTTGCAATTTAAGTCCAAACAAGTAAAAGATCATTGATCGTCTTTGCGTATTTTGGAAGGAGTATGAATGTTATAAATGTTAAAATGAAGACTATATTGAGCTTATTTCACAATATCGATTCCAGGTGTATTTTTAAGGATAAAGCAAGAGGTGACAAATGATTTTAAAGGGTTTGTCACTCACGGTTTGAAAGGAACAAATTTCCTTTACAATAATATCTATTGACATGGACAAAATGTCAACACGGTTAAATTGAAAAATCAAACACTCAAAAGTGAATTTACTTTCCCCAGTCATTAAAATAAAAAACTACTTTCTAATAGGAAAGGCGGCTGCAGACGTAGAGCGATATTTAGCAATTTATCTTTGAGTTTTAGCGAAAAGACTCTACTGTGTACGCTAGGGCTATTAAAGCGTACGAACAAGTCAGTTTTTGAACGAAAATGAAACTTTGTTTGTTCAAGCAATATTCGCGCAGACGGGTGCAAACGAAGGCTTTCCAAAGATTCTTCCCACATAAAACAGAACACTGCCACGTTTTATCTCTGAAATCGCTAGCTGCAAAGCAGAATTCCTATACAAATGCCAAGAGGAACTGTCAATATACTTGTTGGGTAAGGCTTCGCGGAACTTCTCTTCTTACTTTTATCAAGAGAAAGCCGAGATTAAAAATCTTTTATCTACAATCATTTTAAAGCTGGCGAGCGAAAATCGCTGCGAGAGGCAATAGAAATGGCCAGTAGGAAATACCACACGGGTTTGATAACAAATATTGTAAATATTATTTAGCAATGGAAAGATCGATCGCAGATTTCGATGCGAAAATTCTCCTCACAAAACGAATGAGTTCCAAGCACTTCGCACACAATACGCACATTTCAAGGTTTGGCGATTACAAATGAAATCAAAATTAAACATACCAGTGATTTTTCGAGATTTTTCCCTACCTTTACTGAAGTGTGTTTTCCGTTTGAGGATCCTGGGCGTTCATTACTCGTTGTAGGTCCTCGATTTCGCTTGGCAGTAAGCTCGGCCTTGTCGCCGACTTTGGCTTTATCCGACAAATCAGTCAGTCCTTTTACTTTGGTAACTGCAAAAGAGAAAAATTACACAGAAAATTCAAGGGGAAGTTTCACTTTAATTTCAGCCCTAACAAACCGTTCCCATTGAGAGCGGTTTCAATCATACCGATATGAATGAAATATCAGTTCGTCTCGCGCGAGCGACCAACTCACAAACCTCTTTCAACTTTAAACTGGGACATACTAGGCCAACAGGACTAAATGCTCGACTGCCTTTTCGATCGATCACAATGCGCAGGCTTTCACATAGCGGGTCGAAAAGAAAAGACTGTTTTTCCTATGTTTTAGGAAAACATTCCCTCAGCATGCGCGCTTTCATACTGTTTTACATGCAGACCAGACGATGTGAGAGTTGCAGGAAATACAAAACCCCGGCCCCCACAACTCCAATGACGTCATCATTGGCCTCGCTTTCATTTGTGAAACTTTTTCGGTGATTTATTACTTCATTTAATTTTTTTTTTCTTTTCACGATCAATCAAGTAAAATTCGTTATGAAACCCATAACTTGACGTCAAACGTGACACATTATTATATCTTGCATATTTTCAATTACAAGTTGCGAGAGATGTTAGGTTTACTTTTTATTTTAGTTTCTTTGACATACAATTTTACGGTATTATTTTTTTCTTTTCTCATAATCACGTCCCATGTTATTTTCCGAAAATATTTAAATTTTGTCTTTTTAAATCAGAAAAAAAAAATGGAATAAATGATAATACTTGAAATAAAAATAATGTCAGCGATAAAAACGTGACCAGGTTACCGTCGCACGGTTTAAAATCTTCAAAGATAATTACAAAAGAGGTTCAATATATCTCCAGAACACCAAATTGCCCGTCCACTATCCGAAATAAATGAAATTAACACCAGATTTCAAAGCAAGACAATGCCAGCTAAGAACTGTATGTCGGCGGTTTTCCCCAAAGAAAAGAAATAAAATAAGACAAAAAAATCAAAAGGGCCGGTCTCTGAAGCGGACTGTCTTAAAGCCGTCTGCAAACTTGTGGTTTCTGATTATTAGTTATAATAATATACTTCTGTTTATTCAGTCGGCACTCAGTTACTTTTTTTACTTTTTTTTTCACTTTTGTTTTCCCGAGCACAAGTGAAACAGAGGAAAATTTATAGACGAAAACCGTCTTTCAAGGCTCAATCTTGCACCTCCGTCTAAAAACTGTCCCCTGCAGCATATTTTTAAATACATGTTTTGGCGCAGAGAATGAAAATTTCATGAAATTTCACATCCTCTTTGTCAAATATACCACTGTTTACACTTTGCGTGCGTGGTAATAAAAGAGAGGGAGAAAAATCATGAAGCCATGATTACGTTCACCATGTGCTCAGAACGCTTACTTGCTTGAAAAAACTGTGCCGTTTTTAAAGTGTACAGGTAATTTTCTCCAAAGGATTTTGTTTCAAACTTTCAACATCATGTTTTAACTGAATGAAGAAAGATAAATGGCGTGCGGTGCGACAAGAGGCAAAATCGAATAAAATTTTGACTAGCTTTGATAAGGCGCAACCTACAAGTCACGGCCCGGGGGAGTTACTTGGGTTAATTTTTACTAGGTATGTGCAGCGGGGCTTTCGGGGCCCCTACCCAATTATAGTATATTCTGTGGCCAATTATAGACCCTATCTTTAATAGCCACTTTCGGACAAAAATGTAATTTTGGCGATCCGGCAGCCTAGTCACTTTCTATTTATGTATCTACCTTATATTGAATGAAGAACACTTTACTTTTCACCTACAGCACAAACATTCTGGTGCGTTTGCCAACAGTAAATATGAAGAACTGTCTTACCCCAAAAATCAGAAAATGTGCGTCCCCTTTCTAGTAACTTTATTGAAAATACGACCCCATTATAGTCAATCCAGTCGTGAAAATGCGACCCCACGTTGCAGCACATCCCCATTAGCCTCTTATAAGGAAGTAACTCCCCCGCCCCCCGGAGTCACGGTCTAGCCTGGCTAAGGTTTGGTGAAAACTAACTGAGAAGAGGAAAGGGTGCCCTCCGCGCCCCCTCCCTAATTCCCCGCTCGGTACGCTTCTAGATAGAGGCGTCTTGCCCCTATCAGGAATCTCCCCCACCTCCCTTCACTTTACGCTACCCTTGTTGTATCCACTGTTCCTGGTAATCATAATAAAATCTACTCTGACTTTTTGGCGTCAATCTACAAAAAGCGTCTGACAGCCTTGGCTGTCAGTGATCAAGGCCCTCTGTGTCTCCCTACTCCAGAGAGAGGCCCCTTTGTGTCGTTGGGAGGCTGGGGAGAAGGAGAAATAAAAGCGCGGGGATCGCTCACCACGTGCTCTCCTATTATTACTATTATTATTATTATTATTATTATTATTATTATTATTATTTATTATATAAGATATACTAGTGTAATTGCGATGGATTTTCTCTCTCAACATCCGAGTCCAAACCATGGATTTTGGGAGGCAAAGGGGGTTTCTACTTGATGGAGAGGATCTGCCTGAGAAGGTGGGCTGTAGAAAGGAGAGTTATTCTCTGGAGTTCATGTCTGTTGATGTTGCCAAGGATTTTGTTTGAGTAGTTTTCCACATCCTTCTTGATGGTACCAAGGGCTCCCATAACCACCGGGACTGTTGTTGTTTTGAGCCCCAGGTTCGCTCAACCTCGATTTCCAAGTCTTTGCATTTGGTAAGCTTTTCCGTGGTTTTGACTGAGGTGTTGGTGTTGAGGGGTATAATTATGTCAATGAGAAGGCAAGTTTTATCCTTCTCGGTTCTTTAGCACAATGTCCGCCCTATTAGCTGCTATGGTCCTATCAGAGTGGATGGGCATGTCCCACAGAATAATGGCACTGTCATTCTCGGTGACATTCTTGGGTTCATGCTCATACCATCGTTACTTTACCTCAATGCCACAAGCTTTGCAGATCTTCCAGTGCAGTGTGCAGCTGCCTTGTTGTGGCTGTGGATGTATTCAGTTTTAGCCAGTTCACGGGAGCCAGAGACCAGGCATACATACATACATACATAAACTTTATTAAAGTGTCAAGGTATTTAGCTAAGAGCTAATTGTGGACACTAATGGGCAATGGTCTCGTCGAAACGAGGAATGGTCTCGTCGGGGAATGGTCTCGTCGAATCGGCCACACAGTCTACATTTTGGGTCCACGTCAGGCTTCTTGCAGTTCTTGAGGATGATGTGTTTGTACCAGCATGTTGGGAGGCTTTGATCTTGGGTGCAATGATAAAGCCCTCGGTTTCTGCCCTGAGGCCAGCTGCTTTTAGCCATCTGTGGGTCTTGTCATGGTCCACCTTAGCCTGTTTCACCCGTTGTGGGTATTTGCCGTGGAGCGCTTTTGATACCCATTTGGACCTGAGCTGTTGGCAACCCTGGAGTTTGGCCTTGGCCTTTGTTCTGCGGGCATAGGAGTTGTTTGCCCCATCCTCTGCGGGTGGCATTACAGGCACTCCCAGTTCCCAACTGAACTTCATTGACTGTCTGCTGATGGAGGACAAGGGTTTCCTGCCGTCATGGTCTTTGACAAAGTAGAGGAGGGTATCCTTCGTCTCCTGGAGGTATTTAGCAAGATCGATAGTGGTTGACTTGTAGGAAAGTTCCTGTTGCATGAGCTCTCTATCTCCTTCAGTTCTGGGTAGCTACAACCTGTCTATGTCAGATTTGGGGTGGTGCATCTTGTACTTGGTCAGGAAATTTCTAGTCCAGTTCATGATGTTAAAACTGTAAGTTACCATTGGTACTGCCAAGGTGTTGATGGCTTCCAGTTTGGTTGGGGAGTTCAGGTCAGACTTGAGTACCATCCGAATCCTGGGGTAGTACTCTTTCCGGATCTTCTCTTTCAGAGAGTGCTGGACTCTGTCTCCCTCGCTGACTTCGAGGTACTTATCGGTACCTTCTTGTTCTAAGCTCCTGGATGATTGTGTTGACGTCGAGCTCCATTGGAACATCCAGTGGGAGCCTCTACGGAGGAGAGAGCCTCTGTGTGGAATTGACGCTCCAGGGTGATGGAAACAGCAACAAGATAAACTGGTGAAGGCTCTTTTCACAAGGTCTCTTTGATTTAAAAAGAAAACAAGCTTTCGACTGTCTGTCTGTCCGTGTCTGTCTCACACAGTCTTCACACTGTCTTCAAGGTCGACACGTGATGAAGGTCTATTAAGTCACGTGATAACAAGTGATAAAAAAAATATCGCGGCTAGTTTATTGCCCCCACTCCGAGGGACTGTCAAACTGTCACTCAAACGGTTCTTTGCCTGTTAAAACTTAGAGACGTTGAGAAAATATTTTTTTTCACTCAATTTTGTTTTCGTGTTTTCTCCGTGACATTTCTAGAGATCTAAAAGTTCTCTGGACAGCCTAAAGAGTGTTTTTAATGTATTTAGGAGGATACCGTCGTTGGGTGCCCCTGATATAAATTGAAACACTTCTCGGCCTCCTGATGTTAAATATCAGCCTCGGAAGTTAAGGCATGCGCAGAGAGCAGCGAATCTCTTTCAGCGGAATTATTCAATCTCGACCCCGGAGCTCGTCTGTGCATGACGATCATGGAGGCAGAGGCGTAAGGACTGGGGTCGAGAATGAGGAATTATTACGAATGTGTACATGGTGTATCGTCCCCAGATTGTTACGTTAACAAATTTTATACTCCTACGACCAATATATTTTAACTTATTTTTTCAGGAATCAATTTTTTCTCTTTTCAAGTGGGGAAGTCAAGGTGAGAAAATTTCTGGAACACTTATGTTTTTGAAACGGAGAAAGGCAATTCCGCAGCATGGAACCCCGAGTTCTTTGGAGTTTAGAGCCGAGAAGAGCTCAAAAACCCATTTAGACCATTTAAAATTGTTTTTGAACTTTGACTGACAAGCCTACTGAAAATACTGCAGCTAAGTTAAAAAGGTCTCAATTGTCAAAGATAGGTTGAGACAAAAGTTTGCAAGACAGCTGTCAATTGGTACGTACCTGTGTTCCGTTCCAACAGTGGGTTGCCACGATCCAAACTCATCTTTGCACTTATGTAAACAACGCCATCAATGGTCCCCATTGCAATTCAACTCGACGCGAACAAACGAACAAAATCTTCTGAGCTTGATAAAATTTGCAGTGATTTTAAGACATCCAGTCTGTAACGCGAACCGATTTCATTAACTTTTGGTAGCGGTAAGGGCGACGCAGTATG